GGCTCTTATGCATATTTATGTATGTATATAAGTATGTACATATTTGATACATATTCTCCCACACACATGTGTAGGTACAAAATATTGCATAGCAAACAAATTAATTTAACTATTCACGTTTGTTGTGTTCGTGTTTATATTTCTGAATTAAGCAGTTTTTGGATTAGTAACATATTTTTTGTAAAGCTGATGCCAGATGAGACTTTGTGGCTTTGCGTGACATTTACAACTTTGTCAGCAAAGCGCCAGACGTAAAAGGTATGCCACAATGAACGCCAAGAAAACAATTGTGTTCTGCTTTTTTACTCATCAAAATTGCTGTGGATTTTATATATTTAGCTCTCAAAATATCAGCAATGTAATTTAATTTTATGTTTTTGCATGAAAACTTGAATTTGGACAAAACAAAATAAATATTAAACCGGCTGATTGTCAACGCGCGCAAAAAGGTGGGAGTTGGCCATCTTTTTGTTTCGCGCTGCAGCATGCTTTGTGCATTTTCATACAATTCATCTCATCTGTCAAAGCGAATCTGTCACGCAAAGCGAAGAAAGCGTTTTACCTGGCATGAGCTTAATGTTTTTATAGGGGAGTATATGAAAAAAGTGGAATCGGTCGGAGTAATTTCTTTAGATTAAATATTTTGGTGCTACTTAGATGTCGGATAAACTCAACTGGGATAAGATTTAACTCAAAAGCCGTTGTCCATTCCGTCGTTATAATAAACTGATTTGAAGAAAAATTTAAATTTTCTCTGGAAGAATTCAGAAGATATATTGATTATCATTACTTTGCCGTATGACTTCGTAACTTTTCTAACTAAGTCCAAAAGCCATCCTACAGTGAACACTTTAATTGCAAATAAGAATTTGTTTTGACATAGAAATTTGCTAAGACCGCGAAATCTCAGAAAGGTATTTCGTAGGAGCAATTTTCTAAGAAAAATCTTATATTATTATACATCTAAATGGGTTTATTTTGTCAATTGTAACCATAAAAACAGGAATACATCTTTTAATATTCTGGGAAATTATTAAGTTTTACGTCCAGCTAGAGCAAAACCTTATTCCATTTACATACATACATACGTACATATATCAAACATAAATGAAAATTCCAAAACACTTATCCGTGATAATGCCAATATCAGACCAGGTGCAGATCAAAAACAGACATTAAGACATAAAAAAGAAAAATGGTACACGAAATGCATAATACAATTTAAAAATATATTGTTAAAATAAGAATAAAAATGATAAATAGATATGAGGCAGATGATAGCAGATTGCTAGTAATTTCATAGCTGATACAAAGCAGATCATTACCAGATAATTAAAATTAAAAAAATTTCACAAAATCGAATCAAAATTTTTTTCATAAAAAACTTATTGTCGCAGATCTGTCCAAAATGGAAACAGTTCAAAAAAGAAAAAAATATCCAATAATATAGTTTTAAAATTTTTTTTCTCATAAGAAACTTATTGTCCCAGAACTGTCGAAAATGGAACTACTTCAGGAGGGAAATTCTGTAACTAGTTAGCGACAATTTTCGGATCGCTATCGCTAAAGTTCTGCTGAGGTGGCAATTTCCACTTCGTAGGAAATCGCCATGTAATAAATAATATAAAAAAAAAAAAACTTTTTAATATACAACGCTTTTATAAATGGACTAAAAAGTAGAAAATAATATTTCTCAGTCCCATAGAATTTGTTTTGATAACTTTTGATTTTGAAATTTTAGCAAAAGTCATTATAAACAATCTATGAAATTGAAAATGAAAAACGTGGAGCGCATGCAATACAAAGCATTCGATTTAATTGACAATAGTCAAACTACATAACGTAGACCTAAAATTTCTACAGCGAAAGTAGAACTTTGAAATCGATTTTAAGCGGTCGTTATTCATATACCCACATACATACATACATATATTACTTTTCATATCAATTCAAGTGTATTACATGCGCCCCACGCTTTTCATTTTCAATTTCATAGATTGTTTATAATGACTTTTGCTAAAATTTCAAAATCAAAAGTTATCAAAACAAATTCTATGGGACTGAGAACTATTATTTTCTACTTTTTAGTCCATTTATAAAAGCGTTGTATATTAAAAAGTTTTTTTTATATTATTTATTTTCTACTTTTTAGTCCTGTCTGAATAAAATTTTGCAATAGATATTAAAATAATTCAACGATATTAATAGAAAGGTGCACACACATGCATTTACATATGTATGTACATACAAACGAGCACCAATTAATTTTATTTAAAGAAATGGCGTGTCGTCTATTTCCGCTGTAGCAAACGTAGTACATAGGGCGACATCTAGATGTCATCTACCTCACCCTATTCACTACAGATGTCGCCCTATGCACTATGCTTTTTTATAGGAACTTTTCAAAGCAAAGGTTTTATGGTGTCGGACACACAACATTGAAAGTTTATGGATCCACAACATTGAAAGTTTCTGGACACACAACATTGCAAGTTGATAAAAGCGTTGTAAAAAGAGACAGTTGAAAGCATTGCGTTGGGATAGATCGAGAACCAGTTCCGCCTCTTAAAGAGCTAGTTCTGCGCTTGTTCTGAAATAGCGCGATTTACTGCGCCCACGGTAAAATCTCTTTCAAGCTTTGTATACATTATATGTTACCTGCCAAACCCGATCTTAGGACAAACTAGTTTTTCCTAGGCTAAACTAGTTGTACCTAGATCCAATATATCCGTCCAATGCGGAAACAAGGCCGAAGGCCGCCTACGCGAAAAGGTGTTCTGCGCAAAAATACTGTGGCTCCTTATCTAGTCTAGCCTAGGCAAAATTAGTTTGTCTTTAAATCGGGTTTGGCCGGTAACATATGCATACATTGTATACTGAATTAGACTCATCGCAGTAAAAGCTCAAACTGTAGTTTCCTTTGAAATTCTGTATATCAGCCTCTTAAATGGGTTTGCACCTTAATTTGACTTTCTGAGCTGCACTTATCGCACGTTCGAAAAATAAATGTTGGGTATTTTCCTATCTTCAGGAGCAATGTACTATACATATACCGCTTTGCCGACCTACTATACATATACCGCTTGGCCGACCCATCAAGTCAGCGAACCCCGGGCAGTTTAATTGAACTAAAGAAAGCCACCCCTATTGCGAGTGTCGACTAGTAGTAGATAAACGACTATTATTCGATTATCGCTTTTCCATGGTATTGTGAATGTCGATTTCTAGTTCAACAAGCGACCGTAAACTATTCACACTCACTTATTGTACGAGAAAACGACTTTGAAAATACCGCGGATAACACTGGATCATAAATTTTAGTTTGGTTTTTTTTTCCAGGCGCCTTTATCCAATTTCTATGTAGAATTGCCCGGTGATTCCGAAAATCGAGTTAATTTATTTTCTATGGATACGTTTTCCAGATTACAGTGAGCTCGCGATAATATGAACTAATCAAAACCAAGCCTGTTAATTTTTGCGAGATTGTTCATATTTACGAAAGGCTCAAGAATTAAAAAAACAACAAGTTTCATTAATTAAAAAAAAAAGTTTTTTATTTAAAACTTTAAAAGAAACTTGTATTCGTTTTGTTTGTTACACAAATAAGCAAACCGCATATGCAAGGGAACTTCGGGTATTGTGGTATAGGTATTTTTTTAGATATGTAGGAAATTTACGAGCTTTATTGTTACTATTATTTATTATACGAGAACAGTGAAACTAAGTTATAAAATATTTTTCAGTGAAATACTACTTGTATTCAAAAATAACAAAGTTATTGAAAAAAATTTAAAAGAAACCAAAAAATACCTACTTCAAAAATTGGAGGGTAATAGTATATATGGTTAGGATAATGTGATACTGTACCACATTACGATAACGCAGCTCTTATTATCTATATCATTTTGTCTTGGGTCCACTTTCGGATTTCCCCTATTTTTTGCATCTAGAATAATCGTGGTGTTCAAGTAATTAAAAATTACCTATGGAGGGTATTGTAATACCTTAACAGACCTCTTGTCTACCACAATAACCGATTTTCAAAATTTCCAAACAAACTTATACAAAACATAAACTTTCTATTAGCCGAGACTTGATAAACGAAATACAAAACTTACTTTGCAATATTAAAATTTTTTTTCTAAAGCAAGTTTTTTTTTAACAAATAAAGTTGATTTCATGCAGTTAAAAAAACTTTAAAATCTTAGAGCACATGGTTAAGGCATATTTAACAATAAGAAAACCGAACATGAAGTTATTCACTGTAAGCATTTCCGAGCGACACGTATGGGCATTTCCAATGCAAATAAATAGGGGGTTCCCCAAATTACCAAGCGCTTGAAATTCGTTAGAAAATTTTTAAAAACAATAATGTTCATATATTGGAGCTTTTGCCTAAAGTTCATATTTTAGAGTAGTCAATGGTAGCGAAAAAGTGTTCATATTTTGGGATGTTCATATGTTAGGATGTTAATATTATCGCGAGTTCACTGTATTTGCAATTTACCGTTATTCAGCTTAAAACAAAAAGTGGTTCCACTTAATTACATATATCTTTAACAATCATAAAATGAGATACGTCAATGCAAAGCTAATAAAATTCTCCATAAACCATATCTACTTCACTTTCCGATAGGACTGATAGTTTCTGACAAATAAAGTAACCATTCCAGTTTTTTTTTATTTTTTAATAAAAAAAATGTAAAAAAATCAAATGTTAACAGAAGAAAAATTAAAAAAAATAACAGGATCTGTGCCAAATTTTTGCATTTGTGCTAAAGCCTGTTCTGTTGGGAAAGCGAGGGATAAATAAAGAAGTAATGAGTGATCAAATGAAAATACGCAAAGATTTTTTGTATGAAATATGAGCATAAAAGCGTGCTACTCAAGTGTACGTGGCGTATGAGTAACTAAGTATGAGTAGAAATAGTGGCATCCATTGAACATTTTTACTGTAAACCAGTCTAATCGGTAATCGAGTAATAGTCGTTTATCTACTACTAGTCTACACTCGCAATAGGGGTTAGCATTTCACAAACTAATAAATGTTTACAATATGAGCAGTATGCAAATTTACTAATAGTGATTTATTGATAATTTGACTTACCTCCAGCGGCAAATACTTTTGGGTTTGATGTCCCGAAAGAGCCATTGGTGGACTTAATGTTTCCACGAGCATCAAGTTCAAGACCGATTTCAGTCGGTAACGATTTTTCCGGACCCAAAAATCCCATTGCCAACAAAACTAAATCAGCGGGGTAGTATTTTTCACTGCCTTTTACTTCCGACATAGACCATTGTCCATTTGGTTGTTTATTCCATTCTACTTGAATTGTCTTTAATGCTGTTACGTTACCATTTTCTTCTATTAATTCTTTTGTTGTTGTGCAGTATTGGCGAGGATCCTTGCCAAATTTTACTCGAACTTCTTCATGCCCATAGTCAACTCTATGCAATAAACAAATATATGTAAAAATAATTCTAAGTAATATTCATTTCATACCTGAACACTTTAGGCCATTGGGGCCATGGGTTGTCAGTGCCACGATTCTTAGGAGGCTCGGGCAATATTTCGAAGGTGGTAATACTTTTTGCACCTTGCCGCAAAGCTGTGGCCATGCAATCGCAACCAGTATCTCCACCACCAATTATGATTACATGCTTGTCTTTAGCACATATGATGTCATTCTTGCCACCAAGTTGCTTTTTCTGTTGAGATTCTAGAAACTCCATGGCAAAGTGTATACCATTTAAATCTCTGTTGTTTAAATTTAAATCACGTGGCGAGGTGGATCCAGTGGTAAGTAGTAATGCATCATACCTAAGGAGTTAAATTAACTGTAAAATCAAGATTTTCATTAAAACGTATATGAATGCTCTTACTGTTCCAGTAACACCGATGCTTTTATATCTCTTCCGACATAAGCGTTTATTCGAAACTCTATTCCTTCATCAGCCATAAGAGCAATTCGACGCTTAACAACAGCTTTTGATAATTTCATAGTTGGGATGCCATATTGCAATAAGCCACCAGGTCTATCGTTGCGTTCAAACACCGTAACGAAATGGCCTGCTCGATTCAACTGACTTGCAGCCGCTAGACCAGAAGGTCCAGAGCCAACAATAGCCACTCGTTTTCCAGTGCGTAACTTTGGTATTTCCGGCTTCATCCACCCCTGTTCAAATGCATGATCAATAATTGCACATTCAATGTTTTTGATAGTAACTGGCAGTTCCGATATGCCTAGAACACATGCTCCTTCGCAAGGTGCTGGACAAACCCTACCAGTAAACTCTGGAAAGTTATTCGTTTGTAAAAGTTGTCGCAAAGCCTCTTGCCAGTCGTTATTAAAAACCAGATCATTCCACTTAGGAATGATGTTACCCAAAGGACATCCATGTGTATTTGACTGACAAAACGGTACTCCACATTCCATACAGCGAGCTGCTTGTGTTTTCAACTGTTTGCGAATATATTGAAAATTATAAACTTCATCCCAGTCTTCTTGTCTTTCACTAGCCTTACGATATATATTTAAATCTCTTTTGTACTTAATAAAACCTCGAATCTTATCCAATGGCTGCTCTGAAGAATTATTATTTAAAGTTTCTTCAATGTCTTTAATGGCTGGTTCTTTTTGTTTTTCCTTTACTTTTGTAATTTCAGTCACGCTTTCACTTTCTTCAGAGTAGCTTTGTTTTATTTCCAAATTTGTTAATACCTTTTGATATTCATATGGAAAAACCTTTACAAATTTAGGCTGGCTCTCATTCCAATTCAAGCACACTTCTTTAGCGATGTGAGAATTAGTCTTCGTTACAAAATCATTTAGTAAACTCTTTACTAATTGTACATCCGACTCGTGCTCCAACGGGAACAAAGAAACGGATTCAAGATTAACTTTATTTTTGAAGGACCCATCAGTATCGTATATGTACGCTATGCCGCCAGACATCCCCGCAGCGAAATTTCGACCCGTTAATCCAAGAATAACAACAATACCTCCCGTCATATACTCACAGCCATGGTCACCAACGCCCTTAAATATGTACCATATGTATATTAAAGAAGATTAATTCCATAAAAAAAATTAAATGATACCTCTACAACCGCAGTAGCGCCTGAATTCCTTACGCAAAATCGTTCAGCTGCTATTCCTCTGAAGTAAGCAGTGCCTTTAGTTGCACCATATAAACAAACGTTCCCCACTATCACGTTTAAGTGAGACTCAAAAGTGGAATTATCAGGGGGCATAATAACGACACTGCCCCCACATAGACCTTTACCAACATAATCATTAGCATCTCCTTTTAATGTAACATTTACGCCACTAGACAAAAATGCGCAGAAACTTTGGCCGGCTGAACCTTCCAAAAATATATCAATGCTTTTATCACGAGGTAGACCGTTCTCACCATATTTGCTGCAATTATATAAAACAAAAGAACAAATTTAAAAACCTTGATACATGTACAAAACACTTCAAAATGCTCTGCTGGTGGAAAGTAGAACACATAAATAAAGGTCTTAATTCGGGAGAGTATATTTCAGATCTCCATTTTTGTACATACTTTTATTTTTTTATCCAACTTCATTGTGGCATAGAAGGAATGATATTGAATCTTACCCAGTGTATGACTCAATTCATGTCTACTATGCAAAATATGATTCAAGACCTCATAAAGGCTCAAAAACAATTGTTGCAAATTTTAGTGAATAAAAAATGAGTGAGTTGAAAATTTGCTTATGGAATGCCAACGGTGAAAACCAGCGTAGATTAGAACTCAGTCAATTTCTCACTGAATATAACACAGATATTATGTTACTGTCCGAGACACATTTAACAAATAAATATAATTTCTCCATACCTGGATACAAATTCTATGCCACAAATCACCCAGATTGTAAAGCTCATGGAGGCACAGCGGTGCTGATTAGAAATCGCCTAAAGCACAGTATTCTAGACTCAAAAGCAACAGCTTGTCTGCAAGCAACTACCATATGCGTACGAAACCGCGAATATATAGGCTATTTATTGCCCACCGCGATTTTTAATTTCTGAAAATGACTTTAAAGATTTCTTTGGTAGCCTGGGTAATAGATTCCTGGCAGGAGGCGACTTCAACGCAAAGCATACGTACTGGGGACCACGCCTTATTAACCCAAAAGGGCGGCAGTTATACAATACTATTATAAACAGGCACAATAGACAAGAGGTCACATCTCCTGGTAAACCTACTTACTGGCCCACCGATATAAAGAAGATACCAGACCTAATAGATTTCGCAATTATAAGAAACATAGACAGAAATAACATAACAGCAGAAACTCTAGCTGAAATATCATCCGATCACTCCCCTATATTAATGAAACTATTAGTCTGTTCCAATAGCAGTCCGGTTTACAGGATTTAGTCAGAACTTACAGGAAGTCGTTCCTATTGACATAAAACACTTTTGAGAGAGTAACTCAGCAACTGTTCCTAGTCAGAAGTTACAGGATTTAGTCCGGAGTTTTTTTCCTGTAAGTTCATGAAAAGTGTCAAACGATCAGCTGATTTACATGTGCAAACAAAAAACAGAAAGCGGCGAAAGCAAAGAAACTTATATTTGTTAAAAAATGGAAGTAAACAACGAAATATTTGAATATGTATAGATTTTAATAATTATTTAGTGATATTTCAGCCAAATCAGTGTTGTACCAATGACATGTAAACAAACCGACTGACGTTTTTACAGGAAATAGTGCTTGTTGCGTTCCCGTGCACTTCTGCATCTGTTCTCCTTTTACTCTCACTTGAGAGAGTAAAATTGTAGTTTCGCAGTTCCACAGGTTTTAGTCCGCAGTTCAAAGGAACAGACTATTTATGAACAACACCAAAATATCGAGATTGAGCTTAGGCTAACTTCAAATAACACAAACTGGCTTATTTATAAAAAGTACATCAGTAGTCACCTTAAATTAATCGCTGCACTTAACTGCGAGGGTGATATAGACTCCCTTGTTGAACATTTTAAAGAAACCCTTACTTCAGCCGCTGGCCTGGCAACACCAAACCAAGCCCAAGTACCACCTACGCCTACATTAGTTACAATTACCGAAATAGAAAAACTTGTGGCAGAAAAACGGCGCCTAAGAAGAAAGTCGCAGAGTCATCGCTCACCAACCTCACAGCTACTGTACAAAGCTGCCAGTAGAAAACTGAAACAAGCACTCAAACGTGCAGCGGATGGCAACTTGCAAAGCTACATTAAGAAGCTTTCCCCGAATTCTACTGAAAGATTTTAGTTAGTTAGTTAGTTAATTTACTGGGTGTAATAGAACAGAGACACCGCGACCTAAAAGATCTTTTGTATCTCTATAAAGGAGTCCCTAACCCAATGTGGCCAAGATACCTTCGGCTTCCCTTATGAATCCTAAAAGGGCCTTGGTAGACGAATTCCTTATAACAAAGGGTTCGACCAACGAAGATTTAAAGTAAATCAGTCGTTGTCTGGCTAAAGCCAGACAGTTACAGAGAATATGCTCCGAAGTTTCATCGGCCTCGAGGCAGAGCCGGCATTCCGGCTCTGTGATCGCCCGTATTCGGTGTAAGTGGAACCGCAATTGGTTGTGACCAGTCAGATACCGAGAAAGTAACCTGATGTCAATTCTGTTTTTTCGTTCGTTCGTCGTTCCTGTTAAAGGGGTAGCCGAATAGCCTGGCCTGTCTAAGGCCCCCCACCGCTCCCCAGTACTTACTGCGTTCTGAGTGTACCCACTCAGTGATTATGGCTCGCGAAGAGGACCAACTGAGACCACAGAATGGTTCAGGTCCCGAAAAGGCAGTAAGCGATCCTTCACGTGCCAACTCAACAGCGATCTCGTTGCCTTCGATTCCAGAATGGCCTGGTACCCAGCACAATGTTACCGTGTTTTTGGCTGCCAAAAATTGTAGCGTGTTAAAGCAGTCTCTAACCAACTTAGATTTGATAGTTCTGTTTGAAAGGGCCCGGATGGCTGCTTGGCTATCTGAAAAGATAACTAAAGAAGCGCCCTTTAAACCCTTTTCAAGGTTTAATTTTCCGCAGTTTAAGATTGCGACTATTTCAGCCTGAAACACCGTGGGCCATTTGCCCATGGGAATTGTAAGTTTGGTGCTAGGTCCAAAGATGCCTGCACCCGCTCTGTCCGCCATCCTTGATCCATCTGTGTACCAGTGTACATATCTGAAATCAAGGGCAGGGAGCCCATTGCCCAATCTTCGCGATCGGGGGTTATCACTTCGAATTTTCTGCCAAAGCAGACCTCCTTAGTCATGGAGTCAGAGATTCCGCATATATCCAACCCTGGTATCTTCCCAAGAATACCTGCATGAGGCTTCTTTACGAAGAAGCCGTCGTTAGATAGTCGAAGTTGCAGCTCCCTTGTGGGTGCTGATTCCTGAATAAAAATATGGAGAGGAGTCCATCCCAGGAGGGACTCTAGAGCCGCAGTTGGACACGTTGTTATAGATCCTGTGACGGATAGACATGCCAATCTTTGCAGCTACTGAAAGATACTCTCTATGCAAATCGCTAAAATACTTCAAACAACCAGTGGCTACGGAAATGCCAATTAGGAACCAAAGTGGTACCTGGGCTCGTAGTGAGCAGGAGAGAGCCGAGTGTTTTTCACACCATTTAAAGAATGTGTTTCAGCCAAACTACCCAACGAACAACTTCAGGCTGCCATGGCTAACCAAAAATACAAATGAGCTATACACACCTAGCAAGACGAACTCTTTAGAACTAAAAGCTATAGTAAAGCAGCTTAATCCAAAGAAATCGCAGGGTGCTGATTTTATAACTCCGAAAATGCTAATAGAGCTACCGAATGTTGCACTAGCAATTCCTTCTGACCATTTCAATGCTATACTCAAATTCGGTTACTTTCCGAAATCATGAAAAAGGTCGAAGATAAACATGATAGCCAAACCTGGAAAAGACGCAACACAGCCGTCCTCATACAGACCAATAAGCCTACTGCCCTGTCTTTCCAAAGTATTCGAAAAAGTACTCCTATCAAAGATATCTCTCTTTCTCCATGGACGCAATTTAATACCAGCACACCAATTTGGCTTCCGAGAAAAACATGGTACAATTGAACAAGTTAACCGAATTACAAATGAAATCAGAAGGGCATTTGAGCTCAGAGAGTACTGCTCTGCAATTTTTCTTGATGTGGCATAAGCATTCGACAAAGTGTGGCACGATGGTCTTATATATAAAACTAAAAAATTGTTACCGCCGAAATTCCATAAAATACTTGAATCATACATAACTAATAGAAAATTCGCTGTAAAAGTATCTTATTTCACTTCAGAAGACATGTCGATAACGGCTGGCGTTCCTCAAGGTAGTGTACTCGGGCCTATGCTGTATATCATCTACACTTCAGATATTCCAACTAGCAAGGATATACTAACATCCACCTTCGCTGATGATACCGCCTTAGTAAGTCGTAATCAATGTCCCATCAGAGCTTCAAGAGTACGAGAGGAACATTTACTATGCATAGAAAATGGTTGGCAAACTGGCGTATAAAAGTCAGCGAACAGAAGTGTAAACATACAACATTTTCACTCAGACCGCAAGTATGCCCCCCAATCAAATTAAATAATGTCCATATTCTACAAGCCAATAAGGTGACATACCTAGGGATACACTTGGATAGGAGACTAACTTGGCGCAAACATATATCAACCAAGATTACACAAATGAAGCTAAAGTCAGCTAGCGTGAAGTGGCTTATAAACAGTAAATCAAAACTGAAACTAGATTATAAAGTACTTATATATAATACAGTCATTAAGCCTATATGGATGGATGGTATTCAACTGTGGGGTACGACCTGTGCAACCAACATTGACAGGATCCAAAGATTCCAATCTAAAACGCTAAGGGCCTTAACGGGAGCACCGTGGTATGTCCGCAATAAAAATATACATAGGGATCTTGGTATACCGATGGTTAAATCTGTAATCGACAGCAGCAGAGAAGAATATAAAATAAAACTGCGTAACCACCCAAATCCACTGGCAAGTGGCCTGTGCAACACAACAAATATAACACACCTGCGAAGAAGAGATCTACCAGCCTTTTGTTGAGCGACGTGAAACCAATAGGGCTCAACCCCAGGGTTTGAGCTATATTATTGTAAATTAGACGTAAGATTTTTAAACTTGTTGTTGCACGTATAATTAAAAAAAAAACTTCATTTCTTACAACTGCTGAGGAATAGTGAAGAGCGCAAGGACAATAAAATGTACAATGAGATTATCACCCCTATTGCGAGTGTCGACTAGTAGTAGATAAAAGACTGTCAGTCGATTATCGATTATCCGTGGTAGTAGATAAACGACTGTTAGTCGATTATCCGTGGTATTTTCAAAGTCATTTTTTC